TATTTCACTGTAAATCCAAAAGTTACAACTTGAACTAGTCACAAGTGAGTTCATGGTTGTTAATAGTATGGAAAATTCTTCATCTTTTACATTCATCACTTTTTTTTATTAATTTTCTGCTCAATCTCATTTAGTCTGAAATAGTATAGTCTGACCAAATACTACCAATTCTATTGAATAGGCTCTTTATCAAGCGCAGGTTGTATCGAACTGAGCGGTAACCATGACTGTTAAGATTCCGGCCCGTCCAAATGGCTTTCCAAAAGGGACCATATGATTGAATCATTTTTCCTTCCATCTATATGAATGTTTAAGACAGGTAACTAGTTTTCCTCATCTTTTCTCACAAATACATATGCATATATACACCTGTTCAACCGCGATGTCTCCACCTCTTCACACCAGATGACTGAAAAACACTACAACGAGTCCCACTTTCAACATTTTTGATATGATTTTACGATCTCTTTAGCAAACCTATGAATCATGTATTTATGTTTGATAGCTTTAATGTTTGATTGTGTTCCCTTGACAAACTTCAACCAGACTGCCAAGCAAAATATTGGATTTATTTTCAGTCAAGCTGACAAAATTCTTGCAAACGTGATTTTCCTTTTTAATATCTCACATCAAAGTGGGCCCCAACTACTGTGACACTGTTTTTTTCTAAACTTAAATTAAGGTTCTCATACAATACACCGTATAATAAACAAAAATAGATAATGGGTATACGCATACATATATGAGAATATAAATAGGTGATTAAATATTTGAATTATAGTTAAGTAAACAATAGAAATATAGTGTCAGAAGGGGTTTTGTGAAGATTTAGTATTTATCATAGTTGAAAGCGTGAGTCAATTGAAGCTAGACCACCATCAAAAACCTGGAAACACTGGATGGCCGTTTCGTCCTATTATGGGACTCCTCAGTGGCAGTGCGCATCCATGAACCCGCTCTCGTGAGATTCGAACCCAGGACCTACCAGTCTCGCGCCAAAGCACTTAACCGATAGACCACTGAGCCGGCCGGCATCCAACGGTGTTAATGTCTAACTTCAACTGATCTCACGAGTGCGGCTTCGTGGAAGCGCACTGATGAAGAGTCCCATAATAGGACGAAACGGCCGTCCAGTGTTTCCAGGTTTTCCATGGTAATCTAGCTTCAATTGACTCACGCTTTCATTTATGAGAAACATAGTGATTTATTTATTTAACACTATTTATTCGTAGCAAGGTAGATTACTCGGAGACTTAGTTGAAAGGGGCTTGTTAAAATTAAGTTATTTTACTCAGATGTATAGTACACTTATTCATTCAGTAGTGCTTTGACTTGACTTTAAATATGCAGATTAAAAATGAGCTAAAGTGGGAAGTTTATCACTCATAATGTTTTGCAGTAGTTCGGAGATAACAGTTAAAATAAATTAAAGATTCGGTTAGAAAAGTATGAAAAGATAAGGTCGCGGTTTCCGCATATGTGTTAGGTGTTATCAACTTATTTTCGGAGTTGTTATCTTTACGCTATGGAGAAAATTTTGACTGTTTAACGCCAATTTTCACAATGTGTGTGCTTGTTCTTCATGCTTTATCAGAGATACTGTTTGGCTCCTTTCTTGAGAATGCTAAATCGACCTTAATCAAGTTTCGCAAAAAGGTCGAAAGTCAGATCAATAATTAGACACTGTTAATCAAGCTTACCTGTCAGTATCGTTAAAATTTTAGCCAAAGAACTCATAAAAACAACTTACCATTAGAATAAATGTCGATACCTAATGTTTATTTACTGAATGCACACTGATATAAAGTTAAGGTAAATTATTGCTGCATGATCGATACTTTTCCTGTAAAGGAATTTAAGGAATGTCATACTTCCACCATACAATTTAATGGGCACGTCCATTCGAACATCAATCATCACATTATCAATCTGTATGTAATGCATTTCGTTACAGCCATTATCTCATAAAATATTATTGATTGATCACTGATAAGCTACCAATGTCGTGTTTTTTTTAAGTTTTTCTTAGGGCTGATCGAATTTCATCGATCACTTAACAATGTCGCCACTAGTTTTAGTGAATTTACATCTCGCGCACTGTGTTTGAATGTACGGTGAGAGCTAGAATGAGTCGATAAGAAACTCTGGACTCATAAAACGCTTTGATTAGTTCAATACATAGATATTAATATAAATGTATATTAAAGCTTGCCAACTGTATACAATACTGTTCATTTGAACAGTAATACAAATAATCTTGGGAAGAAAGAGAATAAAAAATTTTTATCACAATAACATGAATTCATTTTGTTCTGTTTCATCGTGTTTACAGCCTGGGATATTTACAATATGAATAGTGATGAATTCACATAGTACTGTTTGTTTAGATCTTCCCATCGATGTTTTTTTAGGACTGCAACTGGTCAGTCTCTAATTGGCATACTGTGCATACTGTGCGTATTGCCTCGATATACCTTAATTCACAAACATGGTAAGCAGAGATGGATAGTGGCTAGCAGTGGAATACAGGACGCGCGTTTCGTCCTATTTGGGACTCGTCAGTTGAATGTACCTGCATCTCAGAGTTGATGTTCACTCTGGGACTCGAACCCAGTGGCCGAGTGGATAACGCGATGGCGTTTGAAGCGAGGGTACTGGGTTCGAGTCCCAGAGTGAACATCAACTCTGAGATGCAGGTACATTCAGCTGACGAGTCCCAAATAGGACGAAACGCGCGTCCTGGATTCCACTGCTAGCCACTATCCATCTCTGCTTACCATGAATAGTGATGGTTTTGATAATATTAATAATATTGATCTCATTACTGTTATGATTATAATGATAATAATTCTCACATTGAAACTTTCATTAACAGTCTTACTGAGAATATTAATACCAATAAAAGAAAAATATACATACTGATATTCTACAACTAATGATGATCATACATATTTGTGATACCAGTAGATCTGTCACTCATTATCTTTCTAATGGTTTTATACTTCACTTTTTACCTTAAAAGAAAATGTGAAACAATTAAGTAAATTCGTATATGACACATTTTGTATTTGAAGCATTCATGTGCTCTGGTGAATAGAGTTGGAGAGATACTTATAGCTTGAAATGATCAGATGATCCATTTAAAGATTGTAAAATTACTTAATCTCTTTCTAAATATAAAGATAATTTGCAACTATAAAATATTCTGAAAAAGTTGTTTAACAAGCTGTCTACATCGATGGTGTGAAATGCATGTTGGAATAGATTTTCACAAGGGGGTTTTTTGTGGAGATTTAGTAATTTTATAGTTAAGATCATGAGGTTAGACATTAACACCGTTGGATGCGGCCGGCTCAGTGGTCTATCGGTTAAGGGCTTCGGCTCCAGACTGGTAGGTCCTGGGTTCGAATCTCATGAGAGCGGGTTCGTGGATGCGCACTGCTGAGGAGTCCTATAATAAGACGAAACGGCCATCCAGTGTTTCCAGGTTTTCGATGGTGGTCTAACTTCAATTGACTCATGATCTTAACTATGGAATAGATTTTGTTTATTAATTTCTTAGAAGGATTTCAGTTTGACTTATTCTAACTGTTAAATATTACCCATAAATCCATATAAATCTTACATATTATCATCAATTTAGTTAACTCAAAGGTGATTTAGAAATGGTTATAATGATACACTAATCACTGCAAAACTATACGAATCTTTACATTTCGCCTGTTTAAAAGTTGAAGGATTATAGTCTTCAGTTCCACTTTGATCCGTTACATATATCAAGTTTTGAAATAGATCACATATAGGAAAAATATTCGATATAAATAGTAACAAAGATGATCCCATAGAGTGTAGTTACTGCCTTGACATATTGATCGAGTTCATTTCGTGACAACCTGTCAACATATATAAACAGAAATGGTTGTTCATTGAAGATGTTCCGTCTCAGAAAGATCAGTTAAAAGGAGAAAAGCTAAATTTGAATGAAAAAGTCTTAACTTCTATGGTAAAGTCTTAGGGTTAGTAGTACGAGGATATGGGTATGTTAGCTTGTCAAGACTGGATCGTGATTTAACAGTAGCTAACTAAGGAAATAAAACAAAGTTTAGTTTTCACTCAAAATTTAGGCTTAAAATGTATGGAGCAGATATTACAAAAGTCGTCATCCACATTAAACTAATAAATTACCTGGAAATCTTAAGCTAAAACGGATCATTTCAAGTATTGGTGGTATACAACCGCATTAAATGTTTTGTGAGATTATAAATATATTTTTAATTGTCAAGTCCATTGCCATAGAAAAACTATATATTAAATAAGATTAGACTGATTAACACTCAACGACAAATCATCTCTGCAATAGAGAGTAAAATGGTGCTATCAGTAAGTGTCTAAATCTAATCATTAGCTAAAAGAGAACAGTAAAGCTTATGAAGCGATTGATTTCTTTATTCATTGCCTATAAACTTACGCAACACCTATCAAGATATAAATTTAGCCTAATTCTCTGTTTTTAAGAGCATTGCGACGAAATCTGCTTAGTTGAATAAATCAAAAAGATGAATCATAAAACATTTTTAATGATGTATAATACCTGGGATTAAAACATTAAGACACTAAATCAATTTTAAAAAATTTATGGGAATGATTTTCACTCATTACATGTATAGTTTCTATCCATGTTTTTCTAATCTATCTACTTATATTCATTCAATCAGTCCTCTATGCATTGCATTATTCAAAATTCAATCACTCTATGAATTGAGGGTATTATACTCATAAAAAAAAAGCAAGTGACTATCAGGACTCAGTGACCGAATGAATAATGCGATGGCGTTTAAAGCGAACGATATTGGTTTCAAGTCCCAGAGTGAATATCAACTCTGAAATGCAGGTTCATCCAGCTGAAGAGTTGCAAATAGGACGAAACTCGCTTCCTAAATTCCACTGCTAATGATTATTCATCTTTGCTTAAAAAGAAAAAAAAAGTTGTTTGTAACTAACTAAAATTGAATTATCTATGATAATTTTATTATAAAAAAATAAATATACATCAATTTCATCTTGTTTGTAACTGTCTTCATTATTAAAAAATAATTTATACATAATCTGTAAAATTAATAAATAGGGGGGGGGGATAGATACATAAAATATATTAAAAAAAAGGAACATTTTCATTACGTATGACATTTACCTGAATAATTTGTCATTAAGATAGTGATGAATATTCAAGTATGTAGAATGGGGGATTGGTACGTGTTTGTTTGGGGGGGGGGATGTTCAATCAATAAAATGCATATTTCCCTTAAATCTTTATAAACTTTGATTGTAGTTTTTTTTTTTTTTTTTTTTTTAAAAAAATAAATTCAAATTTACGTTGATTGATTTTGATGGTTACAATATGGTTTTTTTATCTTGTATGCACAACTCTTGTACCAAATTCATCATATTCCTTTTTCTGTATATATATTTCTTTAAATGAACTTAATGAGGCTAGAATGGAACCACCAATCCATACAGCATATTTTTGATCATTTTGTTTTTTATGTATAAATATTCTTTGATTTAATGGTGAATTCAACTTTTTTAATTCATTTTCTAAACGTTGTGAAAATCCAGGAAATAATGTACTACCTCCACTTAATACAATGTTTGAATATAATGTTGGATGTAAATCAGTAGGACATTTTTGAATAGAATCATGAATGATATTTTGTAGTCCAGTTGTACCATTTAAACCTGATTGTCTTGGATAAAATAATAATTCAGGTGCCATAAATCTTTCTTTAGTTAAACGTATAATATGACCATCTGGTGTTTGATGTACATTTTGTGTATTTGAGATAGAATTCAATTGCTTTCTTTCATCATCTGGATTTAATGAAATAAAACAAAATTTTTCTTTTAAAAGTCGTGCAAAATCACGTGAAATGGATGTGGCTGCAATAGGATGTTCTTCCGCTAGCATATATCGAAATAATTCAGTTACATGTGATCCACCCAAATTTTGACGCCTTAAAGCATTCGGTATAAAAATTGTATTATTGACCGGTGTGATATTAGACATTTCTGTACCGACATCAACAACTAAACCTGATGTAAGCCCATACGCGTATAGAGCAAGTGCAGATTGATCTGTGAAGAATAAACCAGGCATATGAAATTTCTCAAAAACCATTTCTGCTAATTTTTCTCTATTAAATTTAGGCAATAAAGGATATTCACTAATAAGAACTGGATGATTTTCCGGATTTGTACGTAGTTCCTTCATAAACATATAATACCAAACTAATGACAACCCGTCAATATCCGTTACAATTCCATTGGAAATAGGGCAATTAAGAATCAGTTCATTTCGGAGAACATTTGCATGTTCACCAACAAACCAATCTGTATATTTTGAACGTTTTGTTGGTCTACCTATTAACATTGGAATAAGAATTCTCGGTCCACCATCTCCAGCATAACCAGCTTTTAAATGTCCAGCTCCATTATCTACAACTATTGGCCAATCTTCTATTAATGCCATATCTTTTATCTAAATAAATAGTAGTAATAAATGATCAAATTATTTCACTGTAATTTATATGAATTAAATTAGGCTTACCAAATAACTGTAATATAGTAGCTAAACCAAATTCTTATTATATTAATAATCCTTTTGTTCATAATTAATTTTCATTTTAATATTAACCTTGAGTACTGTTTAACATGTGATCAATACTACTTACTCATTTATAGTTTTATGATTGGCTATTTCATCTTACTTGACGACAGAACTTTCAACAACAACAAAAAACAAACTCAAGTTTGTTTTTTACAAGTTTTTTTTATTTTTTATTTTTTAAATTTGGTAAAAAAAAAACTTAAATCTACTAATAAATAGATGAATGCACAAGTATCATTATCTAGGCATTTGTGAGTATTCTAATTTTTTTTCTTTTTTCAACGCATTTATATAATTCGATTAAACTATACATATTCTTATTCAACGTTACATAGATATAGTAGTAGTAATAATAATCAAATAAATAAGTGAATAAGTGAGTGAGTGAATGAGTGACTGAGTGAGTGAGTGCTTGAGTGAGTGAGTGCTTGAGTGAGTGAGTGAATGAGTGAGTGAGTGAGTGAGTAAGTGAGTGAGTGAATGAGTGCTTGAGTGAGTGAGTGAGTGAGTGACTGAGTGAGTGAGTGAGTGACTGAGTGAGTGAGTAAGTGAGTGAGTGAATGAGTGAGTGAGTGAGTGCTTGAGTGAGTGAGTGAGTGAATGAGTGAGTGACTGAGTGAGTGACTGAGTGAGTGACTGAGTGAGTGAGTGACTGAGTGAGTGAGTAAGTGAGTGAGTGAGTGAGTGAATGAGTGAGTGAGTGAGTGCTTGAGTGAGTGAGTGAATGAGTGAGTGAGTGAGTGAATGAGTGAGTGAGTGAGTGAGTGAATGAGTGAGTGCTTGAGTGAGTGAGTGAGTGAGTGAGTGAGTGAGTGAATGAGTGAGTGCTTGAGTGAGTGAGTGAGTGAGTAAGTGAGTGAGTGAGTGCTTGAGTGAGTGAGTGCTTGAGTGAGTGAGTGCTTGAGTGAGTGAGTGAATGAGTACTTAATTTCATTATCAAAAAGAAAGAAAAGAGAAAAGAATAAAACAATAAATAAATCATTGAAATCAATAATTAATATAATCATTATAATTTTAAATAAACGAAATTGTTACTATGGTATTTCACACTTTAGCACATTTCAAAATTCTTAATTATTTATAAATAACAAGTTGTTGTTGGTTGTTTGTTTGTTTGTTTGTTTGTTTGTTTTTCTTCTTAATTTAACTATGAAAATAATTTGAAATAATGATGTTATTAATTTTAAATGTATTCAATAAAAAATATAAATTATAATAATAAATTATTGATTAGTATGTGTAATGTTATACACCTAGATACAAAATATTTATGATATTTATATGGTATCATTTTAAAAAAATAAAAAAAAAAAAAGGATCACATTTTAAAAGGGTTGTATTATTGATTTTATGTATGTATGTAATCAATGTTCCAATTAATCACTATATGTGTGCATGTTATATATATGGGTACTTTATTATGTCGACATTATTGAAAATACAAACAAAAAAAAAAGAAGATAAGAATCAACAAGTATGAATAGTGTCATTTAATTACACGTACACTTAATTATATACACACAAAAAAAAAATCTATTAACGAATAATCGATAAATTAAAAATGTTTCATTTTTATAATTTGCTGAAATATTATAGGACTCCTCAGCAGTGAGCATCCATGAACCCGTTGAAGCCCTTAAATGATAGACCAATGAGATGGCATCCAACAGTGTGACTGACTTCAAGATACATGTCCTGGAGTTCTAGTAGGAAGCAGTGAACAGTGGAGTTCAAAACCACGTCTGTTGTGAGATAGGAACTCACTGAAGACAATTGGTGAATGGTTGCTCAACTTCGTGGATCAGTTGAAGTTACACATTAACACCGTTGGATGCCAACTGAGTGGTCTATCAGTTAAGGGCTTCGGATCGAGACTGGTAGGTCCTGGGTTCGAATCTCACGAGAGCGGGTTCGTGGATGCGCATTGCTGAGGAGTCTCATAATAGGGTGAAACGGCCGTCTAGTGATTCCAGGCTTTCGATGGTGGTGTAGCTTCAATTGACTCATGATTTCAACTTTGAGAATTATCGGTAAATTAAAAATGTTTCATTTTTATTATTTGCTGAAATATTCTAATAAATAATGTTTACTAAATGATGAATGGAAATAGAAAAAATACCTGGACTGGACAGTATACACATTTCCTTAGCTTTGTAACTCTACAGTACGAATGAAACCTGATTAAAACTCTGAGTTACCGAATACACACTGTATGTTCTACGGATATAGTTGAAGAAGAGCTAAAAACCATGCGTAATACCCTTAGGGAAAACGTTTACCATAGAAAGTTTATAATTGAATATATGATCACGAAGGTTAGAATAACCAAAATACAAACGATGAAACAGAAATCTATTTTTTGATGCGCCTACAATTCAGAGGGGATGAGGCTAGTGAAATATTAACTCATATATTACGCAGAACAATACAAAACTCTTTCAAAGCCGTAGAACTACGATTAGTGTTTACTACGCATCCAATGATGACACTGAAGCTAAAAGATGAATTACCTAGAATAACTAACTCATTTCGTATTTATCAGTTCAACTGCCATTGTGGAACAATTTACATTGGTCGAAGTTCTAGAAGTTTACATTTTCGTGCTCGCAAACACTTCCCAGAAAGAATAAACAAAGGTCTCCTGAAGAAAACGAACATCTGATATTGACCCATTTAGTGTAAACCAATCTTTTAAATTATTTATCAGGTCAGTATTTTTTGACAAAGCTTGTTAGACTAAAAGTCCTTCAAACACCTGAAACAACAAGACAACACAGAACAACGACTAGCCGAACGACAGCAAAGAATGTCAAGGCAGCAAGCTGGACACACAGAAGCAAACAGGTAAATGCGGAGGAGCATTATAGCCGACATGCAGGAATATGTGGAAAGGTTAGCGATGACAGCGGAAGAAGCTTCAATAGAAGGAAATATGAGACAGCTTGTAGTATCAGTTTATATGTTAAGCCCATATACTTTATTCTAGTTGCTGGCCAAGTCAATTCACCTTTCCGTTGAGTCATCTTTCGATCTTGTTAATCATTTGCTTATAAACCTTGACTATATTTTTATATGAGCGTATATGTTTGTACACTTCGTATCTTAATCATCATATGTCTGTCACTCATTTTTGTCCGACTATAAATGTTGATTAATGCTTGGTTATAACGGGTTGGCTTCCCAGCCAATCTCCACTGCATGTCATTTATGTTCTGCTCTCATCTATTTACTTAATCGTTCTGATTCCCTGGCCAGATCAATGAGTGTAGGAAATATGTGTATTCTAAATCCATTCTCGTATTTGACTTATTTAATTCCGTTATTCGCCAACGCGGTATAAAGTCATTTATTATATACGAGTATAGACAGAATCAGATTTACGACGCAACCGAATTGGATACCTCGCCGAAACGAACACGACGCAATATAATTGGATGTCTCGCCGAACGAACTCGGACCAGAATCGACAACCTCTACGTACGAACTCACAACATAATTGGCGACCGCAACGAGCGAACGCATATCAAAAATGGAACGGCCAACGACATATTCCGTTATGATTCGAATAATCATCATATGCTCATTATTACAATAATGTCATATCATCATCTAACGTGGAATTATTATTTTTGTTCGTATTGACATTAAACTATGACATTTACGCAGTCGAATCACTAATCGAACAAATTATAATTATATGGACATTACACGTTATGATATTCGAAACTCACTGGATTATTTTTATTATCCAATGACGTACAATTTTCCTGATTCAAGTGAGTTCGTTCCAACTTTTTTCATGTCATTTTCGGTCTAATATTACACTCTATCATAGACATAAGTTTGGAGTCATACTCCCGATAGTAGGAACTTATGTTATCGATATACAACTAATGTTCGTTCATCTCATTGGTACGCAGCAATCGTCGTCTCCTACACTTTCAGCGACAACCTAAACCGAACTTTCGCAATTTTTGTTTTACGATGATCCCTACTTTAATGTCTATACACAAATCAAGTATTCGACGCCGCATTACCAGCCGATTTGTAATGATTATTTTCATATTATCTATTTATTCACATTTATAACTGAATGCTGCATCATCTATTACGCATCAAAAATATTTGATTACTGCAGTTAGTATTCTATTTCCATTGCATGGTATACAAGAACATAGAGTTTAGAGCTGGTCTCTCAAAGATACACTCTTGTTCGTCCCATTCAAGTCAGTCTCACTCACTGTCATCGATAATCATATGTATTGGTATTTTTATTACGCCTTCAAACGGTTTCGTAACAAACGAGGTGGAGCGCATATCCCTCTAACTACACAAACCACGCTAGGCTTCTAGACCAAAAAGGAATGCGACTCCGCATATCTCGTCTCAACAGTCACTATCCTGTTCCTCTGGTCATTCTACTAATACATATTTAACGATAACTCGACGCACACGACATCGTACGCTGACTTCGCATTTTATTATCATTAGCAGTACAGCAACGAATATTAACCGTTGATGCAGTCATCATCCTACGACTCGATTATTTTTACCACACACGAACTCCAGGTATGCGGATTCGAATCTACTAATCGCTGATCGACGCTATTTACTCTACTGCGGCTTATCAGAACATATTTCACTGTTCTTTATCCTCATATTCAATCAGCACCACAGAGTAATTACTGTTATACTCTATTTTCACTATATTTCAAATCGCTCATACGAACATGTTATTTTATCATTCGGACAGTCACTACATAAATTCATGTTAAATTTTTTCGAACGCTTACTAATGTACTCATAATCAGATGCTAGCATTTCAATTTTTGTCCGCATCTTGACAATATTCATGTACATTTTTACATAAGTATGACACTTTCGCTTAATACGCTCACCCCTCACATGACACTGTAATTTATCAGGTATTGTACCATTTTTTCCCACATTTTGACGTTATCCTCATACCGCTTCAGTGTTATTTTTCGAAAACAGACATTTTTTTATAAATGTGCTATTTTCTACAAGGGGGCTATGTAGTATCAGTTTATATGTTAAGCCCATATACTTTATTCTAGTTGCTGGCCAAGCCAATTCACCTTTCCGTTGAGTCATCTTTCGATCTTGTTAATCATTTGCTTATAAACCTTGACTATATTTTTATATGAGCGTATATGTTTGTACACTTCGTATCTTAATCATCATATGTCTGTCACTCATTTTTGCCTGCCTATAAATGTTAGTTAACGCTTGCTTAAAATGAGTTGGCTTCCCAGCCATCTCCAATACGCATCATCTTTGCTTCGCTCGCTTACAGTTGCTCATGTGCTTACAACTTTCTGGTCTGCATCGATTATCAATAAAAATGTAGTTGCCGCTTCCCTTTGCCTTCTGATATTATACACCGTTGAGATTGGTATTAATAACGGTTATCGAAGCGAACTATGATCGAAGCACGGCACTACAAGCTATGTGACACAACGAGGAAACTGACAGGGAAATGTAGTAAACCAGAGAGAGACAGATCAAGGACGAATTAGCCGAGACCATCACTGAGACTCAAGAACAGAGGAACAGTTCAATTGAATCCATCGGACATCGAAGTAGCACACACTATGGATCATCGTTAAACAATTGATCGAATGAGACGCGTCACTATACACCAACTTCATTGATCATGAGAAGACATTTGACAGCGTAGATAGGAGAACCACATGGAGACTTCTTCGATATTATGGTGTATCTGATAAAGTCGACAACATCATACAGAATTTATATGATGAGCTGAGCTGCGATGTCGTACATGGAGGACAGCTGACACACACATTTCGAGTGATGACCGGAGTCAAACAAGATTGCCCACTCTCTCTCATCGACATCTGAGTGAAAGTACGAAATACAATGGACAACTCAAAATCCGTTGGAAGATTTGGACTTTTCAGATGACCTATCACTTCCTATCTCATGCACACGAACAAATGAATATGAAGACAACTAGTGTAGCAGCAGCCTCTGCATCAATAGACTTGAACATACACAAGGGATAAAGTGAGATCCTCAAATACAACACGGAGAACACCAACCCAGTCACACTTAATGGGGAAACCCTGGAAGAGATGGGAAGTTCCACGTTCCTGGACAGGATTGTCGATGAACGAGGAGGAACGGATGTTGACATAAAGGCGATGATTGGTAAATCAAGGGTCACATTCTCACAGTTGAATATTACATGGAACTGAAATCAACTGTCAATCAATATCAAATTTAGAAGCTTTATTACGAACGTCAAGACTGTTCTACTGCATAAATCTGAAATGCGGAGAACCACCACAACCATCGCCGAGAAGGTACAAGAATCGATAAACAATTGTCAACGCAAGATAATGAATGTCCGTTGACTGGAAACCATTTTCAACAGCCTACTCTGGAAGAGGACAAACCAGCTTCCAACTGAAAGGAGAATTAGTTAAAGACACTGGAGTTTGATCCGGCACTCATTGTGGAAGTCATCTTACTACATCATGAACCAAGCCCTAACTCGAAATTCTGAAGGGAAGGGTAAAAGAGGGAGACCGAAGAACACACTATGTCGGGAATTGTAAACAGACATGAGAAGGATGAAAAGCAACTGGAAAGAACTGGAATGGCTTTCACAGGACAGGGTTGGATGGTGATTGCCGGTGAGCGGCCTATGCTCCTCGACGAGGGGTAACAATTTCAATGAAGTTAGTATATCAGGTCACGTAATTTGGTTGTTAACCTGATTATGAGTAATCAAACAAGATTGGAGAATTATGGTACTTGTTATAACTTGGTGATCTATTTGTGTAAACAACGTTATTTATGTAATATATGGTTTTATCCCAGTCATGAATAATGAATGGCTTCTTAGGCTTCTAAGCATTGAGTTTCAAAGGAAGGTCATAAAAATATCTATTTTATCATTTTTACCTCACATAATTCACTTTTAGTAACTTAGAGATTTAGAGTAAATATCTACTTTTATTATGATCATACAAATCTATCTATTCCATATCAATAAATTTGGTCTGAAAATCAGTTGTCGATGTTGTATTATAGACTTCATTATTTCCGTTAGTAAACCCTTAACTTCAATTTATCTGTGATATTTGACTAAACAATTGCATAAAACTAGAATAATAGCCAGGAAAACATTGATAACTACCCAATAGAAAACATGTTTATATTAGAATAGTTCAATGCGTGTATTATCATTCATGATTTTGTAGTATCGTCTTATTCTAAGAGACATAATACGCCGATGACATGGTTTTATTCGGTGAAGAAGCTGACAAAATGCAGTCTTCTGACCATTATAAGCAACAACGCAGGCATGTTTGGGCAATGTTCTCCCCCTAAAAGTGCAAAATGTTACTTCAGGATTAGGTTGCATCGGCACCTGAACTAATGATAGGGAGTGAAGTAGTTGAGCGTGTTGACCGCTTCACTAATCTTAGGAGTCTCATCAGCCCTTGAGGTCTGGTGTGTGACGAAATCTCAGCACGGATACAGAAGGGTCGTCTAGCTTTCACCAACTTGCGTCATTTATGGCGTAGGCGAGATATCCGTCTAGCAAGAAAAGTAAGGGTTTACTGCACAGCAGTTCGTTCCGTCCTACTTTATGGCAATCAAACATGGCCGGTAAAAGTAGAAAATATTCGTAGGCTACTAGTAT